ATGCCAGTCACTGCGAGCAGAATAAGAGCAGCCCGTCTTACTTCAAACAGAAGGTAAGGTGTTGGTGGGGGGAGACAACAACTGTAAATAAACTTGCAGCCAGGAGGTGCTGCCTCAGCGTGGCCTCCTTTTTTATAACCTTACTTAACCTTTTATAGACAGCAAAACGGTAATTTTGTAACCTGCTCTCACTTCACTGGCTCATGGCTCGGTTGCATTGTAGGCAGTGGAAGTGCTTTAAAGACAAAGATTTGTCTCCAGGAAGATGCTGAGATAAATTCGTATTTTAAGGGGGAGTTGAGAATCATCTGAGAGGATTGGGCCCAAGTTGGCATTGGGCTGACATTACAGTGGGTACAACTGAAGGCTCCTCCTTCCCAGCGACCTTTGTGCATGTGTTTCTGAGCCATCAGTCGTCTTTGTGGCTCCAAGTGTTCTCTGTAACCATGTGAAGTTTAGCAAATGACCCAAAATTTTGAGGAATAAGCTCTATTTAGAATACATTTATTTCAGAGGAATTACAAGAATGAGGAACAGTGGAGATGAAAAGAAAAATAATGTGCTTTTAATGTGAAAGAACGACAAACTGATCTTTTCACAATCAAATATAATTGATGGTTTACCATTCAGAGTACTAGGCTTGCCTTGTTGAAATATAAAGACATGAAAAGTACAGCATCCCATGGCCAGTTACATTTTATCACTTTTTTGTAGTTTAATATGCTGGATAGCTAGTTGTTGCTTGATACCTCTTTTGTTGCACTCTCAGTGCAGTTTTAGTGGTACACTTAAGAGGGACCTAACTATGAGTTGTCAGCAGAAGAGATGATCATACTCCATTTTCCTTTCCCCTCTCCCTCCTTGGGTTGTATCTCACAGTTCTGCAGTTACAGGTCATGGTTTGGATTAGAGTGGGACACTGATTCAACAGAAATCTCTTATGTCTTGTTTTGAGGTTGTTGCTTTTTGAGTGTTGGGGTTTTTTGTTTTCTGAAGCAGTACACTGCTCTGACAGACTCTGTGGCCACATGATCACCGTGTTTAACGTGGGGATAGCAGAGGGAACATATTTTCAGGAGAGGTGCAACAATCATCCTTGTTGTCAACAGCAACTGGCAGTTGGGTTGGACTAAGTGAAAGATGAAACCACTGTAGGTCAGAAAGTAGATGAATCAGAATGTAAATTATACACAAGGTGGAGTTATGGAAGCAGTCAGCTGGCATTGCCTTATGCTGCTGAAAAGGTGGCACTTGAAAATTTTTGCTCACATCCCATATTTGAACCTCTCATCTGCTGCATATGCACAAGACAACACCTCATTTGTCATATGTAAAAGATTTTTAGTGGTATGTGCTTTCATTGAAGGTGATCAAAGAAATATTTCAGGATTTTTAGTGTGCCGTAGGTTCTTCATCATGTGACAGAAGCTGGTCTTAGTAGAAAGAATGTGAAAGTAAAAAGGTCAATAGAATTGTAGTCCAGCATGATTTCTGGGCTGACCTGTGGATATAATAACCAATTATTGTCTGAGTAATGCTTGTATGTTACTCCTGCAAAGTGGTTTTTATAGTATTAGCTCCCCTTTGGGTCCTGTGTATGGGCCTTTTGTCATATAGAACAAGCAACTCCAAGAAAACCATATGTAGTGCATACAGTTCTAATTGCAGAGGCCACCAAGAAACCTGCATTTCACAAACATTTTTGCATTTTGCAACCCCCCAGATTCAACCTGATTTTCAAATTGCCATCATCTATGGTTCAGGATATATATAAGGCTTTCATATTTCTTCTTGCAAACCACTGAATCAGAGTGCTTAATTTCAGCTGAAATTCAGATAGTGTCTCTGTTTGATGTGGTGGTGAATTCACACATTTTGGGTCTTTTGGCATAAAGGTTAAAAAGTATAATTAACTTGATACCTGAGAACATGAATCCTTCAAGGCAGCAGTTGAATAATGGCCAACAGAACTTCTTAGTTTCCCTTTCCTGCCAAATTTCCATTCCCTCTATTTCAGTGATTGCCAGTAGGCCATGAGCTTTTGAACAATTAGGCTCTTGTCTGGATCTTTCGCCTGCATTTTTATTCCACGCTTGTTACCATAGCGTAGGAATGTAAATGCTCAAAACACCCATTAATTTAAGTGGAAACCAGACTCCGTGCTAGGGTAATAGTCCCGTGCCGAAGAGTAGATCCAGTAACTTAATTTCAGGCCCTTTCCTGAAGAAGTGTATAGTAGGTGTTCTGGATTTTCCAAGACCATCCAAACTGACTTACGTTTATAGATGTTGTAACTTTTGCTGTCAGGAGTGTTCCCAACAGGCCCCGTTTGGCATTAACCTTCAGAGGAACATCTCCCTTAATAGTTTAGTGTAAGTCTTTATGTTCTGAGAATGAAGAAGCTTTACACGAATCTCGTCTATTTCAAAGCAAAGTGTTAAAGGAAATTAAAGACAAAAATCACTTGGAGCCTGCAAAAAAAGGTAGAATATAGTTCAAAATGGATAGTCTTTTTTCTTACAATTTGAAGAAAATTAGTCATTTTATAATAAAGTGAGTTCAAAGGTAATTTGAATAAAAGCTGAAGCATTCCAATCACTGTCATGGGTAGTCTTTTTTTATTATCTCAGAAAGAGCTACGTTGTTAATCATTAAACATTGTTTGTCATCCCATTTATTTATTATCCAATTTTCCTTTGCTACTCAGTAATGTCTTTTTATATTATGAGCCTGTCAGTTTATCATATCCGGTACATTGTTCAACCTCAAGCACTACAGTTCTTTCTTAATTTAATCCTTATATAAGTTAACTGCTTCTTCACTTTCATTCTTTTAATTTTGAAATTGGTGATTTTAAGACCTGTTTCCGTCCACCATGAGTAATTCTTCAGAGTACGGTGAATTTACAGATTAAAAAACTAGACCTTCCTCTTCAAATGTGTGTAGTTCCATTGATTGTTTAATGGAGCCACATGATTTTAAAGCAGCTGAGAGTTTGACCTAATATTTTCTGTATTGCTTTCCACTGGCTTTATAAAACCATGTACTTGGCAGTTGCATGCCTTACACTCTAAATGGAGTTTTTCTGTACTTCTGTCTTTTAGTCTTCTTATCAGTAGACATCAATCTTTTATACCAGCAAGTTTATGGACATTTGTGGTATCTGGATGTGTACCCATGTTCTTTATGTTGCACAACTTCTTCCAAAACAAGGACATCCAAGTATTTGCTGGTTTATTCCCTCAGCTTTACACTTCATTATGGTTTGGCAGTAATATTTCTATATATATGGTTAATGTGGGTTGAGATGATATATAATAACATTTAGGGTTTCTTCTAATGTAGTAGCATTTGTTTGATGCTCATGTCTTTGAACATGATGATACTAGTAAAGAAACAATGTCTGCAACTACACAGAGTTCTCTTTGTCAGCAGGGGAGGAGATAAAAGTCAGAATAACATTTTCCATCTCAGTTTGTTCAGTTTTCATGGTTTTGACCCTTCCAGGGTGACAACAGTGCTGGCCAGTGGACAGGACATCATGAGTCCTAAGGCAGTTATGACACCATAAGGGAAGAGAGTAAGCAGCTTCAGAGTGATGGCGATCCTGAAGGCTTTCCTTTAGGACCTCAGGATCAGTTGACTTTTCCTCTTGCAGTAAAACCTGGTATCTTGTAAACAAAGGAAGAGATTGAGCTAGAAACACGTGGTCTTTGCCTGTAAATATAAATATGAATTTATAAAGCATTCAGCAGCTTTTAAAATTCCCCAAAGTACATTCCTGTAAATTCTAGGATTTTTCATCTTTTGGCTGTTACTCGGTCAGGATTGTGTTAGCTACAGAGGAAACACCTGAAATGTGGCATATGGGTGGCTTGAATACAGTCTGAGAATTGTGTGGGCAGGCTCACACTGCTGTACCTGCTACTGATTGAAGAGTGCAAACCCTGCCCAAGTCTGTGTGATGCCTCAGAAAACTCAAAGAAAACTTGCATAGTGACTTTACTCTGCATCTGAAAGATTACCTGATAGAGTTTAAAGGGTTTGTGTGAGTAAAGTTACTTCCTTTTCCCCTGCTGCTCTTCTGTTTTATTAGGTGGTTGTCTTTGAAAGAGCTGTTGTGGCTGCTGTCTGTCAGGTCTGCATCTATGCATTAAAAACAAGATCTGAATTAGCTTGCTGAGCGTCCTTTAGCAGCTGGTTTCATGGCAAGATCTTTTTTTTTAATGAACCTTTCTTTAGTTCTTTTTCTCCAGCCATTTGTGTTCTGTTAAGTTGTTGTTTTTCAGCTACATTTGATTTTTTACTTCTGTTAAAAAGAACTCTGAAATTTTCCCCGTAATGGGCATTTACAGTTTATTGTTAGAGTGTTAGCTGCTGTTCTTTATGTGATACTTGCTGTGGCCTATCTATCCATCACTGATTAGGACAGTTTCTGAACCCAGAGCTCTACAGTGTTTGCAAAATCAGTTAATTCATGTATCTGTGAGTCAACATAATGTTTAATGCTGTATTTCACATTGGTGCTCGTTATTATTGTTATTAGTAGTAGCATTGTACACTGGGATGTCAGAGCAATACCTGATCTGTTTACTTGCAGAATGTGCTTCTAGTGTGTGAATTGATTCTTGTAACCCCCTCAGTAGAATTATTTGAGAGTTTCCTCTCAAATAATTCTACAGGGAGCATGGTTCCTCAATCAAAGACTGGTTTACTACTGATTTCTGAGAGATTAAAATAGCCCAGTGTCCAGTAAGATTGTGTCTTAAGAACTAAGTTCTGGCTTAAAATGTAACAAGGGATGTTTGAGGAACATTGAAGGTAAAATTACAAAAGCTGGAGTCTGAATATGCAATTCCTTTGTATTAATGATTACTGTAATGTAATGCATTTTTATAAAGACACTCTAATGTGCTGTATTTTATGATAGCATAATATATCATAATGTCATATAATCTTACAAAATTACATTGTAGTATGTTTTATAACAGTATCATTTATAGTCTATGAGCATGTACTGTGCTATTCATTATATTGCAAGCTAATAATTATGTAAATAATATTGTTACAGACTTTTTCCCCAATGTATTATAATATTTACTATTATTTTTGTTTTCTATTTGCAGGAAGTTCAAGAAAAAGCCTCTGTTTTTAATATGCAGTTGGACTTAACTGGGGCCGTTCCCAGCCTTATAGTTGCCTTTGTCATTGTAGCTAATGGAGATCGCCAGGGACACAAAAGGTCTTTAGTTTTACCATCAATGGGAGCATTGATTGCTGGTATTAGCCTCACTGCAATATCATATTTTTCCTTGTCACTCTCTGTCCTATTTGCAGTTGCATTTGTTACTGGACTGTTTGGGAGTATGGCAACTTTCCTTGGAGGAGGCTTTGCTTTTATAGCAGATGTGTGTCATGATGAGAAGCAGAAAACAACCCGAATAGCTGTGGTAGATTTGATTTTTGGAGTTGTGTCTGGATTGGCAGGACTGTCATCTGGCTACTTTCTCAGAGGAATAGGCTTTACATGGACATTTGTGACAGCGTCTCTGCTTCATGTCATTAATATCATCTATATTATATTCTTTCTGGAAGACACTGTAGGCATATCCGAATTCCAACATGAGGCACCAGCATCCTGTAAAGAACTTGTTAGAGAGACATTTTCTGGAGTGTACATGCTTTTTAAAACTGCTCCTTATAAAAAGAGAATTTTAATAATTGTGTTACTTTTTACATTTATGACTTATTTGTTTACTATGATTGGTGGGAGTTCACTTTTTACACTGTATGAACTGGATGAGCCGCTCTGCTGGAATGAAGTATACATTGGATATGGAGCAGCTGCATTCACCTCTGTCTCTCTGACCAGTTTTTTAGGAGTTTACTTATTTTCTAAATGCCTCAAAGACATTTATATTGTCTTTATCGGGATATTTTCTTACATTGGAGGAATGATCATGGCTGCCTTTGCCAAAACTACACTGCTCATGTTTTTAGGTGAGTTCAAAATCAATTGTTTCATGGTCAACAATATATATGAAAATACTGCTATGTTGTCTGTAGTGAGTACAGTTGTTGGATGTTGGACACACTGTCTTGAAAGGGTCATAGAGATGTAAAATATACAGAGTTGATCAGAGCGATCTAGGATTTGATTAAAAGATGAAGTGTGTGGAGAGAGAGTGGAATTACTTGCTTATGATTTGGTTTTAGTGCCATACAATTACATTTGATTTCTTAATGTCTCTGTGCTTGGATAATTGTGCTTCACTGTGCTTCTAGTTTGACTTTTCTATTGCCTTTTACTAGAGGAAATGGCCATAAGGTGAGACGGGGAGATTCAGGGTAGGTGCTAGAAAACAACTTTCCACTTTTGGGGTTGTCTGGCACTGAAATAGGTAGCCCAGAGAGTTGATGGAGTCACCACCCCTGGATGTGTTTGAGAGGTGTCTGGACCTGGCACTGGAAGATATAGTTTAGGGTTTACAGTGAAATGACAGATTAAACAGTTGGACTTGATGATCTTAAAGGTCTCTTCCAATCTTGATGTTGTTATGATTCTATGATTTGAGGAACTAAGCATTCAAAAGTATATGACTAATTAATTTGCAATGCTTTTGTAAAATCCAGCATTTTAATTCCTTCAGTGTCTCATGACTGACTCATTGCTTTACAGTGAGAGTGCCATCTTTGTTATGCTTTATGCCAATTCCTGTTCTCCGATCCATGCTGTCGAAAGTGGTTCTCACTGGTGAACAGGGTGAGTAGATTTGGTTTTAAACAATAAAATAATATGGTGTTTCAGAACAGAGATGCACCAAGATTACCCTTAAACAAACAGATCTGTAGTGGTATTTTAAGACTGCTATTCTTTCAAGTTCCACATATGATCTTGTGTCATGATATTAATGGCTTTTGATTCTGAATTTAAGCAACATTGTGTTAAAAACTACTGCAAGTTTCAACCTTCAAAGGAGATACTGCTCTTAAAATAAAGACCATGGGAAAATAGAAGCAGAATGCTCAGGGTTTATACAAACGTGATTTTACAAGGGCTTCTACATTCAAAAGATTTTGACATGCAGAGAGAGATATATTGGAATAGGCACAGAACTTCACAGGTGCCTGTGACTTCTTAAACATGTCCCCAAAAAATGTAACACATTACTTTGCAAAGTCCTTTCCTTATGAAGCACAGAAAAAGACATGTCAGGCCTCAAAATGTGGCTCTAGTGTCCCACATTTTGCTTTTGGGGGGCATATATATTTTCTAGGTTTTGGGAAACATACTTTCTAGAAACATTCTCCTGAGTTGTTTGGTCTTATTTTTTAAAAGACTGATCTTTGTACACTGAAACAAAGATCTCTTTGTACTAGCTGTGCTAACATACACCTCTGGTTTTGCTGTTTCTTGGCATTCTTCAGGGCTTTGGCTACTTGAGTAGTTTGATGCAGGAATCAGGTTGCCTCTTGTCAACTTTCTCTGCTTACCTATTGTCATTTTGTTCCTGTGATTATGAATGCAGCTTAGGAAAATTTTTTCAACAAGACAGTGATGGGATAGGCTGCCACCCCAGTGGGTAGTTCAGCGCAAAAAAACGTTTCTTTCCTTTCAAAAACAAAGAGGAGATGGTTATATGCTGAACCATCAGTCTGTTGGATCAGAGCCTTCTCCTCATATAAGAATGAAGATTAGAGAAGAAAGGGAAGAGTGAGAATGGAGAAGAGAATTGGAAGGGGTAAAGGATGGACATGTGCAAAACATGGCTAGTGGGGATGTACAGTTGAACTTCATATGATAAGCAGATTCAAGAAAGTAGGTACATTGACGGAATAGTAGCAAACAAAATTAGTTTCCTTCAGCAAAATGGTTGGGTTTGGGGTTGGTTTTGTCCATTTAAATTACCAAGTATTTTGCGGGAGTCACCAAAGAAGACACTTCCATGACAAAGGATGATACTGTGGTGCCTGTTACTTGCATACTTGCAAAAATACTGTAGACAGATTTATAAACCTCAGTACTTCGAAGTGGTTTTGTTTTATTTTGTTTTGTTTGTAATTCACCCATTTGTTTTTGGCAGGTGCTGTCTTTGCTTGTATTGCCTGTTTAGAAGTTGTGACCGGCAGTGTTTCAGTTTCAGTTTTTAATATTCTCTATGCAACTACTGTTGCATGGTTTTCAGGCTTTAGCTTCCTCCTATCAGCAGGCCTTTGTCTAATTCCACTGGCTGTCCTGTGGTAAGTACAAATCACAAGGGTGCTTTGGACTGCTCTTGCCAGTAATTTCTGTTTTGATGAGTTGAAGCTGAACGGTTTAGTGTAGTAGTTGACAAACTTTACTGTTTTCTAGTGTGCTCTAGTAGCTCTAGTTTCACACTTTATCTCTGATGCAGCTGCCTTCCCTTGGTTCTGTGCTCTGAACTTTCCCCAAACTGAAGTCTACCCTGAATGTACTGCAAGTGGGATACCCCATCCCCTTGACGGCATGTGTGCGCCTTCCTTTGGTTTGAGACCTTTGCATGGTCTTTCTTACAGGAAAGCCTTTCATGAAGAACAAAAGTAACGGATCCTTTGAAAGGCATGAGCTTAATTTTGCAATCTGAGCTCTTCTAGATGCTAATAAGGGTTCTAAACATAACCAATCACCCAGTAAATTTAATGGAAAGCTATCTGTCCTGGTCCTTGGTCATGGGTACCTTGTGACCCAGTGCCATTAAACTCTGTAAGTGATTTTAAGGCCCATATGAATAAACCTCTACACATTAAAATAATAGGCCTCTGTAGCAGTTGCATCTAATCATATCTAGTGACCATCTAGTAATGCTGACAGTGTAATACGATTTGAGTACTCATAAAAGCGAAGGTTACTTTACATTTTTCCATTATAAATTAAGTCTTTTTAGAATGCTGAAACAAAAATCTAAATGTCAGAAAGATCATTTTTCATTAGATAGATTTACACTTGGGGGAAAGATGTTTTTCTCTCTTGTTGGAGACCTGCATATTTTTCCCTAATGTTAAGACTTCACCTCAGTCACCTTTTATCTCTACTTCAGCTGCACTCTAAGTTTAAAATAGGCAGCAATAATGGTGTAGATTTAGAATATTTCACTTCATTTCAAATCTGTGCCCGCCTCACTACAGTGTTTTACATCGTCTTTACAGAGAAGCTGCACTAATGGAAACTGAAGACTAAGGTAGTGACGAGTATCAGACCTGAGGGAATTGAAACAAAGGGGTCTTCTCTGTGTGGACACAGTACTTTTCAGTAGAGTAATAAAACACCTGAGAAATTCAATTATATTAACAAAGGCACAGTAAATACTTGTTCTATTAAATATTACTTTTAGTTTAGTTCAGTGTGGTAAGGTAGAGAAAGTTTCTGTTAAGAAGGCACACTGTACTGTAGAAAAGGTAACAGATACTTACCATCAGTCAGTCCATCCTGCAATCAGAACTGCAGTCCATCATCACCATAAAGTTTTTAAAACTGTTTTTCTTTTCCTTGTGTCATTAGCATTCCAGGTATCTGACCCTTTGAATAACCTTTCTCTAAACCCTTCTTTTGAAAGTCATACAGTGTTATTGTTTGAGAACAGAAAGGCTAGTTGGTTCCAGTCTGTAATAGGCATAGTAGTCTAGTACTTTGATCCAAGACAGCAGTAATGATACTGTCTGATTTGTGTAATGAGGGCGAGTAGTGCCATTGCTTTTGTTTACTAAGATACATCAACAGCTTTATGCCTCAGAAGATGGCTGTAACAGAGCTACCCAGTGTGTTTGTGGGTGCTGAATCAGCATGCTATACTTAACTGTCTCAGCCCTGTCTTATCTTTGTCTTACAGCTGGCTTCTGTGCACAAGCTGGAATGGGGAGGACTTGGCTCTGCTGGTACCTGAAGAAGTATCCAGCATAGAGAGTGCTGATAGTTGAACAAAGGATCCACATACATGGGTTTTCTATCTGACATGCAGTGGCATGTCATGCAGAGATCATAGAGATAACACAACAGTTGCAGATGCAATCTCCAAGTGGCCCTGCAGCAATAAGCACTAAATTGGTGGCACTCTATGCCCAGTCTCTTTTTAGCACTTGAATAAAGCTAGCTCTTACACTTAACTATGCAAATAGGCTGGCAGTGGAGATTTAAATGCTGCTTTCAGCATGAAGAAAAGAAAAAGGTAGGATGGTACTTTCTTTCCACTTACCTTTTCTCAAGTTTGAGAATGTCAGCTGTGGATTGTGATACATCTTGTATCAATTCTAAGTGGGGTGACAGAGATAGGCTTATCAACTCAGAGGGTGCTGGCAATTCTGCTGAAGCCACTGGAGCTTGTGCCAGCTGAGGATGTGGCCCACTGTGTACATCTCAGAAGGCCTGTTTTAATGGTGAAGACCTCAAACCTGTCTAAAATTACTAAACTAAAAGGTAACCTGTTTCTTCAAAAAGCAGCCAAACTGGAGGCAATTCTTACACCTGCTGTAAGTAGACTTACTGCTCTGCGGTTAGCAGAGAGTGTTTGTGCAAGTTTAATGTGTGTGGACCTTGCCTGTGATTTAGTTCTTAAAATGGATTTTCACACAGAACTGCCAGAAAATTTCCAGCTTGCAGAGTGTGAAGTTCAGCCTATGCCTGCATTTTGCAGAGGACATATTGCACATTTATAATTTTCCGTATGTTAGGGACTGCATACAGACATCTCTATTTTTTGTCTTGTTTTCTAGTTAAGTTGGTACTTCGCTTAAATGTTTCTTCCAGTGAAAAGCTGCAATACCATTTCTTATCAGTGGATCTTTATTTTTTTAACAACCCTGAAATGAGGAGACCAAATCTAAATCATGAATCTAATCACCTTGCAATGAATGCAGCATAATTTATGAGCACTTTTATAGCATTTCTAATATTCAAAGCACTTTACAAATGCTATTAAGAATGTCCTTCCATAATTGATATTATCGTCCCTGTTGCATAGAGAGCAAAAATAAACACAGAGAGGACAAGTGACACACACATGGCCACAGTGCAAACGGGTGAGATGGCCAAACCTGGGAATCAGTTTTAGCACTGACTCCTCACCTTTTTCCTTGAGCTATTTATGTAGAAATTATGCTGAGTATTAGCTTCTGGAATGCATAGAACAGCAGAAGTGTAAATATAATACCATGTTTTGGTCCACTCCCATGTGCTGATTTTTTTTAATGTTCTGATCTGAAAGTTGTGTGTGACTCTTGTCCCCCAAATCAGATTAGGTAGAAAAATCAAAATAATGTAAAGTGGTTGCCATTTAGAGAAGAAAACCTCTAGGAAAGCAGCTGTGATGTGGGAACTGACTTCACATGCACACACCATAGGATAAAAACACAGACAGACATAGCATGTGCTGTATAATTGCTTACAGCCATTGATACCCATCACAGAGTATGTGATGTGGGTATCAATGCACACCTTCTCAGTGGTTGGTACTCCAACAAAAAACAGTAGTATCATATCATGATGATGCTATCGTAGATCCTTTATAACTGAATGGTTGCATTGTTTCCAAGCTATGTGTTGTGATCACAGAGAATTCTGGAAGAGGGTTCAATATAAGGTAGAGCTTGCACTGTTCAGGAGACCACTGCCTGTTTGTCACAGGTGAAAACAATGCCATTTATTGGGGGAGGGGGGTGGGGAAGGAGTATTTACACAGCTGACAGCAATAGCCAGCTCTTACACTTCTGTCATGAGTTACTGAGACTGGTGTTGGCAATTAAAGATCATTACCTTTTCCTGGGTAGTTTAGACACTAGCCAGAAAATAAAACTGCTTAACTCTAAGTTGCCCAAGTTGCTGCCAATTTGTTGGAGACACAAGCCGAGTTCTGCAGTAATCAGTGGGTCCAAAACATAATGAGTACTTGTAGAGAGATTAAGAAAACACTGATGTAAAGGATTTCAGCACAAAGATTACATTGTCTTCCTTGCCTCTTCATTATGCAGTTATGTAAGGCTTTATGAAATTAACTATTTCACACAAAACTGCCTGGAAAAAATAAATGTAAAAGGGGCATGTGCCTTCACTTTTGTCAATACACACCTCTGCTTGCATTCCGAAGGAAGCAACAAAGTGAGCCAGTTCTGCAGTGGCCTTGTGTCAGTCTGACAGACGAGAAGCACATACACTTCAGGAGTAGCTTTGTTATGGTTTGATTTTACGGTACAAAGTACATGCTGTTTGCAAAGTATTTGCATTAGATGCAGCATTTGGAACTGGCTGTAAATTTAGGTCAAGAAACTTGAAGGATATGAACTGTGTTTTTAAAATGCCTAGCACAGTGCAAGCTGAGGAAACTAAGTACTAATAGGCTTTAGATTATTAAAATCTTCTATGTTTATAGTAACAGCTTTATTTGTGTATAAATGCAAATTATTTTGACAAAATAATGAAGTTTGGTTTTTTAACTCTGTTGTATTTGTAGTTCTTGTTTTTTTGGTTTTTTTTTTACAAATGGCATGACTGGTGGAGGAGTTTGTGTAAACAGAAGGAGCAGCACTATGGTATCAGCTATTTTTTGTGTTCATGACAAACAAAGAGCAGAGCAGGAAGATGTGCTTTTGCCTCCCTCCCATGCCTGGGGAGAGGAAAGGGTGCTGCCCAGAACATCAGCACCAAGAGGAGGCAAGGAATTGCAGAGCAGAGTCAGCAATGCCATCTGCAAGAAGACATGGTGGGGGCTTGTGTTGCACCTGCCAGAGCAGCAGCTCCTCCCCTTGCCCAGGCCAGGTCTGTCCCAGCTCCACTGCTCAGCACACCTCTCGTGGTGTGCCTCTGCGGGTTGCTATGTGCAGCACCTGCTTTACAGAGTGAGCAGTCTATGACATGAGAGAAACGGCTGGGACAGGAGGCCCAGTCACCAGCCCAACCCCTGGCAGCACTGCATCATTGTAACCCTTTCCATCTCAAAACCTTTGCCTCAGTCACTGGTTACTTTATTAACAGGACAATTCTTGCATAGGCCTCTCATACACACTCTTTGCTTTCCAGCCTGGCTAGCTCCTAAGATTAACTTCCTTACAGAAATAATGAACAATGCAACATCCTAGCTCTGAATATGGCTTGATCTCACCCAAGATTATTACAAAGTATACTGACTGTTGAACAAAACCACCTAGAAATTATATCCAGCCTCCTAATCTGTGTGTGTTCTTCACTGCACTAATGAGAAACTTTACTAAATTACTTAATGCAGTTTTGCTCAGATGCATGAGCATCCATCTTTCAGCCAATACTAGGAAAGGCCAACTAGGTAGATACACTGAGGTGGGGAGCTATAAGGTACCTGTAACTGTGTACAACTAGTGGATGGCTCTGTTATCTGAAACATAGCAGGTAGGCAGGCAGACCTGAAAAATCCTCCTAAAAACCCATGCTCACACCTTCATTTGTCCCAGACCTGGCAAGGTAAACCCTCAGCCTTTCTGGCCTGAGCCTTGAGCAATACTGAACCCCAAGTTTGCTTTGTAACAAGTTACTTTTGTTTTATACAAAACTGCAGAGCAACTTGTAAGTATAAAACAGGAGTCAACTCTGGTATTTAATAAAGTGAATCAGCTCACAGAAAGACCAGGACACCTATGGAAAACAAAAGCATGAGTAGGTCCACACTTGCATGTTCAGTTTATTGGTTCTATGTTTAAATTCCCCAAGGCAAAAAAACACCAAAATGAAATAGGTTGTACTGCATAGCACCAACTTCTAATCTGTGCAAGTCTCAACTGAAAGACAATTTTAGAAGTTTCATGTCTTAGATGAGACAAGTTTAAATATAAAACCAAATAAAGCTGCCAGTAAAGTCTCATACTGTATCATCTCACTGTTTCTAATGTGCTGCAATGTTTTGCGATAGATGCACACAAAACCTCTATAAAATTTACAGGATGGAAACTAGAAGCTGTGACCCACATGGACAGGGAATTTGTAGCATCTGTAAGCCCACTGAAGCACAAGAGACATTTGGAATTGTGAAAAGACGTTCACAGCAACATTTCTGCTAAAACTACCTACAACAGAACAATAAGTGCACTTGGCAATTTAACCAAGTCATTAAAACCTGCTGAATAAAGACAGTTCCCTGTCTTAGAAATTTTGTTTCAAGCTCCTCACATATGACAAGAGTTGACATTTTTTGAACCACAGACTTTTTTTTCCTAATATTCCACATCCTATCAGCTGCCTTGCAGGATTTATGACACATGTACATGTATATACGACATCAGAAATAGTGGTTACAACCTTGAATTTAATAAATAAAAAACCCGAAGCACACAAACACCCTTTCTGTGGCTCCTTTAAAAGGTGTATTTAAGCATAGATATCTCATTCTCCCTTAATTAAGATATGACTTTTGTAAACCCACAAATAATTATTTCTGTATTTTACCATAGTATCTTCATGTCCTCACTGTAGCACCTTTATTAGGTGCTGTCACAATTAGGCACTGCATTCTTTCTTAATACTAAAATACCTAGACCTAGGAGTGCTCTTTTGGATTATGTTCACAGATAGATTTTAAAACACCTCTTCAAACTTCAAGTGGAACTTGCTTCTCCTTTCAGAAACCAGAATATCCTCTCAGGGACACAAATGAAAAAATCTAGACCTTTACCTTCATTCTTACAGCAGTACTTCCAATTCTACACAAAAGCTTAATGGCTCACTCATAACTGTCAAGAGGGGGATAAAATGTACGTAGCAGGATTTCACTAGCAGTGCAGAAGTTAAATATCTTTAAAGAGACTGCAATAAAAAAGAACAACACTGTTATGCATAAGTGATTCTTGATTTATGATTAAATATATTTTGGAACACAACAGCATTTATAGCAAACTTTTATTCAATAGTTTAAAAAGTGTATGGAAACTTTCATGCACAATGAGTTACTCAAAGGAAAATACCTTCCTTTCCCTCTTCAGTTCTTCTGCAAGAACATCCATTAAATGCATTTACCTACAGTTATCAGTTTTAAAATGCATGGGTATTTTTGGATTTCATGTACACATATATAGCATTTCCATATTTAAGAAGCTATTGTCCTGAGCAGTGTATGAAAAGACATTATTCGAAGTACCTAGTTACAGGACATTCATACAATTGACAACAAGCACAGAACAATTTATAGACTTAGACATTTAATGTGCCTTTTCATCAAGGAAGGCAAGTGATAACTGTAGGACTGCTTAACACTGAGTGTCAATTTAGCATCATGTATTTTTAAACCTGCAGTATAAGGACACACACAAAACATTTTTGTGGAGGATATTTTGTTACAATAAACCCAGCTTGTACTCCATCATCATGTGTGGTTCTCCCATAACCTCACTCTGTGAAGGATCTGCAAAAAAAAAAAAAAAAAAAAAGCAAAAAAAAAAAAAAAAGTTGACAGCATGAAGCTTTTACCAAGCTACAAAGACCAACAATAATGGAACATGAACTTTACTTTCATTATAATGCTTTAGTGCAACAGTTACTTGACTGGTTTTTGACAATGTTGCACAATGCAGGTTTGTAACTCATAAGTCTCTATCCAAAGCACTGATCAGATAACAAATACATCTAAGGTGGAACAGTGTGTCCTAAGGAGACACACACACACACACTGCAACTAAAACCAACCAGTTCTACATAAGCACAGTCTCTTACTGCCTGAATCTCAAGTCTGACTGAGTTTTGCGTTTCAGAAAACGCAAGTCTGAGTGAAGCTTTTCTCCATAGTTGCTGCACTTCTCTTTCCAGTACAACTTAAATGCACAATGGGAGCTCACACCCCTCCCTTCTGTTAGTCAGGACATACTCATGGCTTTCCTTCACCTAACCACCTAGTTTGACAGAAATTCTGCACCCGTAAATCTCTGAGATTTCCTCCATTATGTAAAGTAAGGTGGACATTAGCCACTGAACTCAAAGGTTATCAAGGAATGTGCAGAGGACACAAGACAGGTCCTCGTATTTTGTGTGTTTAATTTTTTTTCTGTGGAGGCAAAGAACAACTCACAAATTTTACCTTTAAATGCTTCCATAACACTAAGACCAAAACGTATTTACCATTAAGGATATCCTCAAAACCAATGGATTCATCATTTCCCCTCAAAGTATCCAGGGCCATGTTTGAACTGTGAAGAAATGGAAGACGCTGGACCTGTAAAAAGAGAACAAGAGTTCAAGTTTCTGCAAGTCTGAAATTGAAGAGGTTTGTACCTGGATTTCTCAGTCTGAAGTGACTGCGAAAGCCAACAGGCAAAGTCACTTCCTCCTTTAAAAGCAATGCTGCAATAAGAAAACTACTGGCACAAATAGACAGCAAAATCTGCTTAACACCACTATCTTCTATTGTTTATCTCTGTTTGAAAAGAACAGCCTTTCAATAGATTTTTTCAATTTCACTGCAGCATAGCTACTACAGCAGTGTACTTTAAAAAAAGAAAAAGTGGGGGCTTTTTCCTCCTCTCTTATCACAAAGCTGGAGGCTCACTCCAACAAACACCTCCACACCCTGAGGTCAGTATTGGGTGATTGATGTATGCTGCGGAGTCTGGAAACTACAGTCTAAGTGTCCTACATGTCTGATGCCAGTAAGAAATGTAAGTCAGTGTCATATTGATTTTCACATTTAAACATAATCCTCCTTGCAATTAATCTAAATCATCATTATTTCTCTGATTCCCACCAATGCTTAAGCTTCAAGTCCACTCCCAGTTAGTTTCAACACTCTTCTGTACCCTTCACCTAGTATTACAAAAAAAATTTCAAGTTGTACACATAGCATTCAGAGCCTAAATATTCTGAGAATGGCATATATGTACTTACAACTGCATTCACTACTACTAGAAATACTTCAGTCATACCATGAATGTATTTTACAACCATAAAACTATCACGTAGCTGTCACTACACACAAAGCATGTCAAAGATTTCCATACTGGTGAAATTGTCAGAAGTGCAAATACACTATACCAGTAAATATCTTAGAAAAGTGAAGTAAAAACACAAGAGAACTTGTATACCCCAGCACGAATCTGGAAGTGAAAAACTTCCTAATCACCGTATTTCCCCCACTCACCTCCCCAAAATATCTGTGGAGACACACTAGGAGGATCTCTTCATCTCCCTCATTTTCTGCCATGTGCTAACATATGTCAGGATAAAGATTTTCCTCACAAAACAGCACAGCTGAGATCAAGGGATGTTTCATCAGCTCACTGTGGTTCAGTGGCACCTGATCACTGGGAGTGTAGTACTGCTCTAACTCACTTGAAAAACCAACTCTTAATAGCTTGACAACCTTCTGTAAATCAACAAAATTCACTAGGACCAATGAGCTTTCTGTTTCCATAAGGGACAAAGTCAGCCTCTCTCCAGCTACTCTCCATCCTAGGAGGTAAGAAGGAAAAGGAGACAGACTGAGCTTCACAATTAAGAGTTAAAACCTTTGAACTCAGTTCCCTGTAGACCTCCCTTGATCTTACAACAAAGGCTGTGGAAAAATAAGCACACAGTAAATGCACTGTTTCAGGCTTCACATTACCTCTATATCCACTCCCAAATGACTGCCTGCTTCAGACCTCTTAAGTCTCTTTTAAAAAAAGGTGCAGAGTTCCCATGAAGGTCACATGTTCCACAGAGGAGTATTAATTCTAGGAATTAATACTCAATTTTTCCTGCTTTTCTCTGAAAGCTTACAGGAAGCTAGTCCACAGAAAAAACCAGTTACCACTTCACCAAATAACCCATAAAGAACAGCAGCTGAAAGGCTTTAGCATATTGACTGTTCTGAAAACTTACTAATTGCAGTCTTTAGCATGAAGGTCACATGTTCCACAGAGGAGTATTAATTCTAGGAATTAATACTCAATTTTTCCTGCTTTTCTCTGAAAGCTTACAGGAAGCTAGTCCACAGAAAAAACCAGTTACCACTTCACCAAATAACCCATAAAGAACAGCAGCTGAAAGGCTTTAGCATATTGACTGTTCTGAAAACTTACTAATTGCAGTCTTTAGTTTTAATAAAAGCAGTCCAGTGAATTAATTTCTTTTGGAAACATAAGGTATCTCAGCAAAGAAAGAGGTACCTCTGAAACCATGTTCCGAGATAAACGTTCTTTTCAAGAGGTTTAAGTTACACCAGTTGGATAAAAATGCCTACCTGTTTCACTGCTCTGAATTCCATCTGCAGCTTTAAAGGTGCATGGAGTCCTTGAATATTTCTCAGCGTGGCAAAGTTTGTTTTATCTTGATTTAACTGGAACTATCACAAACAACATATATTTTTATTTTTAAAAAAGTTACTTCAAGAACAGCAGTAGAAGAGATTTGTGACATCCTGCTTAAATGAACTTGTGTGTACAATTTCAGTGATACCATCATGTGTGTCTCAAATGTACAGGAAA